TTTTTTTTTTTTTTTTTTTTTTTAATGTCTCGGCCATGGCTTATGGGTGCTGAGACCCATACATTTTTTTTGGTGGGCGCTTGACCCCTGGAGCACCCACAGAGTCAGTGCCTATGGTTAATGTAGACAATGACTTCCATTATAATCTACCTCATATCTGTTAATATCTGTACTTCATAGATGAGAACAGTCCTCCTGAATAGCTTTGATTCAGGAGGCCCTTGCCCTGATCAGCCAATTGAGGCACAGAGCTTGGGAAAGAGACCCCTCCCTAGCTAAGCAGCAATTCCCCACCCAAGTGGGGACTCCCTGCTAGCTGCCCCACTGGTGGGACAGGTCCTGCCTGGGCCCTGGCTGTACAGGAAAGCCAGTCCCAGTGCTACTCAGCTCCCAACTCCTGTGGGGAGCCAGGAGTCCTACAGCACTGGGGCAGCAGAGAGGGACCCAGTCCCCATGCCAATCAGCTCTTGGCTCTTGCGGGAGCCAGGAGCTGAGCAGCACCAGGACCAGGCCCCCTAGTGATGTGTCTGACTGGGAGCAAATTTTCTCTTGGTCAGACTCTACACAAGTCTGGCTGCACAGTATCTACTGTGCAGTTAGTTTACTACCTATATTTACAGGTACTAGCTGACTGTGAAAGAGCTGTAGGGGGGAGACTCTTTCTCAGACCCATGCCCCAATCCATAGATTAGGCATGGGGCTGGGAGGCAACAGACCCAGATGCAGGACAGCTTCCCCCACCCTCCAGAGACCAGGGCCTAACTCTCATACCACTCTGCCAGGCCAGGGTTGGCACCCAGAAGAGCCTGGAGCTCCCCTTGGCTGCTGTAGGGAGCACAGCATGGATGGAATAGCTCTGCACTGAACTGTTCCCCTCAGGAACAAATTTGCTGTCAACAGCAGCACATGTAGACGCCTTGTTCTCCTGTGCAGTAAGGTTTCTGGGTACTACTTGCACATGTAGACATGCCCACTGTGTCCAATAAAAGAATTGCCCACAAAAATCCTTGCCTCTTGCATTTTTCCTGTACCATAACTGCTATAACCTCATCCCAACACTGGCATGATTTTTTTAAAATGGTTGTCAGAGGTCAGGATCTAGAATTCATCTTTCATTCAATCACACCAGTGTACGTTAAATAGGAATACAAACATATAGGTATACATAAAATGCTGTGGCATTTTGAACCCAAATAAAATGATATTACTAGAAATGGATGAATGTTTTAAGAAGAAAACTATGAAATGCAATCTACTTTCCACCACTCAATTTTCATCCATGAAATATTTTTCATATTACAGGTGACCCTGGCCATTCACAGGGGATACGTTACCGTGATCCCCGCAAGTGGAGAAATCCGCAAATAGGGGTGTTTCACCGCATTTGCAGTATCCGGGGGGGGGGATGGCTCGAGCAGTGACAGCAGGAGCGCAGCAGCAGTGGTGGGAACCCGGTGACAGCAAGCGCAGAGCTCCCAAGGATCTCCAGTAAGTGTTTAAAGTATATTTAAAATGCAGGTTTGGCATTCGCGAAAATTTGAAACTGCAAATGCTGAACACACGAGGATTTCCTGTATTAGCATTTGCCTACTCTTTACAAAATAGCTTTCTTAACTGTCTGCAGAAATTAGTATTAGCTAAAACTGGCAACTGATGAAAATCTGTTTGTGCAAATCTTAAAACATTTATTAAAATGGCACCGCATAACCTGATGTAATTCTAAATTAACAGCCTTTTACTTTTAATGTAGGTCACTACTTTGAATTTAACTAAAGTTGTTGGTATTCCAATATCATTTCTGTTTTCTCCCTTATATGATCAGAAGTTATTCATGGTGGTTCCTTTTTACTCCCTACTATCTATTCCCAGGCCCTGTGCCGTAGGAGGAGAGATGCACCAGTTATTTCAAAGACTTCTGAGTCCTAATAGCCTGTGCACCTGCAGCTCCCAGGTGCTCTTCACTTTTCAGGATCAAACACCAGCTTCAGAACACTCAGCAGCAGGATCCTCAGTATGGAAAATGTATTCTCATGCTTCTGAACAGAATGTGATAGTGAAAGATGGACATTAAGACTATCCCACCGGGGACAAAAGGTAAGTCATTAAAGGCTAATACTTGGGAGGTGGACACCAAAAGGTCAAGCAATGGCACCTAAGTCAGTTACTTCTCAAGGCACTGAAAGTCAAATGTGTTTGAGACGCAACTTATTTTCCTTTCATCCAAATAAAAGAGCTTACTATAAACATACGCAGGTGCCCCATATGCCTGATAAGCATCCAATGAAATAGACACTGGTTTCAGAAGGTGTCACTTGGTAAATGGGTTCTTGCTTTCACTACAAAAATGAGAAGGGTAATAGTTTACAGAACAAGTAGGGATCTTAAGGAACCCATTCTGAACTGGATTTAACGTTTAGTCTGTGCCGAGAATGCATTCACACTGTACTCTATGGACACATTCACAGCTAAAAGTAAGAGACTTATTGCAAAATAACTGTAAATATGAGAGAATATGAAAAAGATGCTACAAAATTAAGTTATTTGACATTACATAAAGTAATTCATAATGCAACATAGTACTGTTATTTTTACAAGCAAGCAAACAGGACTTTATTGAAATACAGCTATATACAACTTTTTTTTTCAAATTAAAGCATTAATTTTAAGTCTTAAAATAAATTCCAGTGATACAATCTTAAAATAGAATAGTATCAGCTGAAATGTCATGCAGAACAAATAAAAGGAACCGAAAAAAGTAATCACAGGTTTACTGTTGATCATGTGCTCTCTCTTTCTGCATGGTCTATACATTAAAACACACCAAAAGACCTTTCAGAACTTACCTCGGAAATCTAAATGGATGAAAACTACTGAATTAACTCCAACTCTCTCCTCTCCTACAACAGGCAGTCTAACTTTTCCACCACTTTGAAGCTGGAGTGGAAGATATTTTAGGCCTGGCCAAATATCATTGGAAGAAAATCTGTTCACATGTTGGGCCATATTTTACATTCCACTCCCTTGCATTGCAATATAGACACAGCTAATTTTAATCTGTGACATACACAGTGAAGACTACAGTTAAAATTATTTAGGCAACAACTCTAACTCATTGCAACAAACTTACTGTGCCAGTTTAAGACATTATCCAATGAATATAATAAAAAGCCAAACTTGCTAGATATAGGAAACCAATTTCCCAGTAATTTTAATGAAAGTTAAGAATATTCCCAAATATGACAAATAAGATCACAAAGATATTAAAATATTAGCTGTCCATTGCAACTATTGCCAAACTGGTTAAAAGATGTTTGTATTGTCTTCTGGATGTAATATAAAATTTTCTTGTGAAAAACTAATAGCAATCTGTTATGTAAAATCTTAATTTTAATAAATGTTAACATTATTCTGCTTAAAAGTACTGTGTAATCCGTAAGTAATAGAATTATAACAGCAATAAAATAATTAAAATGTGATATGTTAGTATAATTATTTATAATCATCACCATAATAAACATAATTCACCTTACCATAAGGCTAATAGTTTTTCTTTACAGAAACAGAAATACATACATCCAAACAGAAACAGAACCAGAAATACATACATCCAAACAGAAATACATACATCCAAAACTTTGCTTTAAACAAAATAAGGGTAAAGGTTCAGGCACTAAAATACATATACTTAGAGATTAAAATGATGCTACTTAGAGGATACATGTTTCTATGGTGTAATTTTATCTCTAGATCTTAAAATGTAGAAACAAGGCTCCTAGATTTTACTGCTTGTATTTGGCTGATTATGTAAATATTATCCTTATAAGACTCTATTTTCTTTGATACTTCGGATAAAATTCTGTGCTAGTAACCATCTATATTTTAAAAATACATTCAAGCATGCAAATGAAAGGTTTATAGAAGACTAAACCTTTATAAATATTTGCTATGTGAAACATTGCAATCATTAACTGTATGTTTAGACAATTTTATTTCTTAAAGTACTCTTCTTGTATTGGTCTAACTATGCATTTTCACTGTGGTCTGCTTTAGACGATGAAACTCCTATCAGATACCCAACAGCTGCAGATCATAAATTTAGGACTGACACAGCTCCAGCTAATCACTGGGATATGAGACACTTACTTCCTTTTATGAGTTCTTTGCCTATTAATTTTTTATCAGCTTCTGTAGAAGTTTGTTGAACACACTGCAGAAGTTTGTTTCTGCACAGAAAACTAAATTAGCAATATATGACATAAACATACATATTTTTAAATCTAACATGTCTAAATAAACTCCTTAATTTACAAAAAATTTAAATGTATTGTGTTTGTTTGCTTGCCATTAAGACTTTGCTTAATTGACAATCCTACCTGAATCTTAAACGAGAAAGGAGCCTCTAATTAACTTGATACTTGTAAATAGCTCTGAAGGATTTGGCATATTCATTGAAACACTAATTATTAATAATTTGAGATTTGGGCCTAACAGTTTCTTTCAAATATGGCTGCCAACACATTGTGAAACCCCCCCCCCCCCACAAAAAACCCCCAAACAAACAAGAAATACCACAGATTTTCTAAATGACCAACGGGATAAATATGTTCATTTTGCCTTGATATAGATCTTTGTTTTCTTTGTTTGGAGTTGTCCAAATTCTCAGTTTATGAAAGGAATCACAGAGTACTGATGCTTGCAGTAGCAAGGGACTAAACTCAATGACTTGGCTGGTTCCTCCTTGTGCTCCTGTGTCTTTTCCTCACAAAAGTTCAGTTACATTGTTCTGGGTCTAGAACTGCATATCTTTATCTGCTCTGCTACCTATTTAAGATAGCCAAAGTCAAAAATAAAAAAGGTAAGAGAATGAATAAATACCTCAATTAATATCCTCAGAAATGTTCAGAAAATGGGACTGGAGCAATCTGAGTTTTAGTGAGTTTGGGATCATCTGAAGGTAGCTGACCTGTTTGAACGCAAGGGAAAAGATGGTATTTAAAAAGTATGGGTAGAGAATGACTTATACCCTTAGGGTAAACTTACATAATCCATATCAGAATTGGTGGTGTTCCATATACAGAACAGTAAAGTTATAGAATTAACACAAACAAACAGAACTGGGCTTAGAAGTCTTTTTTCCCCAAGACTTCATTTCAATGTAGCTATTTATGAGAAATGAGAAAAGTTTAGTCTACAGTTGGATCTAGAGAGAGAAAATCAGAGGCATAACTAGCCTTTACAGTGCCCAGGGCAGGAGAGCTGGAGGTGTGCTGAGCACTGGAGAGTGGTGGGGGGGTGGGGAGGGGAGGGGCAGGGGTGAGATGGGGCAGGGCATTCTGGAGCCCTTCTAATTAGCACTCAGGGCTGGTGCCCTGCTCAGCCACCCCAACCTACACATTAGATAAAATATGTAAATAAAGATTAAAGAGATTAAGTTACTCAATATCAAATTTCAAAGGCAGATGTAATTTTTTTACTGTAATCTATAGCAGCTTTCAGCAGTTTTCCCAAAAGGCTTTACCTTGTATGTTGCTTTTCTGTCAGTACCCCTCCACAGAAGTACATGCAGCAGCAGGGAGTCAGTCCCCACCTCTAGCCCCCTGGATGAGCTGCCCATGGATCTGTCCTACTCCTTCAGTCAGGCCCCACAGCTGCACATTCCTGCCCTGGGCACTGCCTTGGCTGGGCAGCACCCCCAGCCCTAGTCACAAATCCTGCCCCACTCCCGCTCTATGGCCACAAAAACCTGCCCCCAGCCCCCAACAATAGACTTACCTGCAGACAGCTGGGGGAGCTGTTCTCCACCGCTGCCTGGCTTTATTATGGCTGGCCACCAGCATGTGTGCATGTGCACACATACACATGGCACCCTGTGTCCTGCTCCCCCCACCCCAAGCAGCCCCTTGAAGGGTGGAATCAAAGCAGGATGCCTGTATCTCAGGCAGACAATCAGTTTCCCTGCTTAATACACCATCCCAATATTGGGGGCTAATTCTGGGGGAAAGGTAATGTATGCAAGAAAATACAGTGATAAATATGTGAAATACATGATGTGGAGGGTGGCATTTCACCAGGCTCAAAAGAGGACAAATTTATTTAGGATAGGTCCATCAGTGGGTATTAAACACAATGATAGGCCTGCAGCCTCCAAATTAGGACTTTTGAGGCTTCTAAATGCTGTAAGCTGTAAGGAAACAAGGGCATAGGTTATTAGAATACTTGGTACTCAAAGGTCCTCATCAATCTGGATGTCCAACCAGACAGGTTCATTCAGTTTGGGTTCTATAGGGGTAATGATCTAATTAGTTAATGCTTTGACTAGAGGAAAAGACAGATTGTAAAGTGATGACAAGGAACAGGACATCAAAAATCTTTTTTTAAATCATCAGGTGTCATGCCCCTCCAGATTTGTGTATGGGGCAGGGAGGATGTAGGCTGCCCACTGTGGGTCTCAGGGCTCCTTGCCCTGCTGCCCTCCCCATGGGCCTCTGCAGCTAAGTGGGCATGGTCCAGCACAGGAGGACAGAGCAGGGCAGGGAGGCTCAGCGCTGCTGCCACTGCCACCACAGCCAGGACCCCTATGCCAGCCACACCATCATGGTGAGGTGCCCCCTGCATGTCAGCAGCAGTGGGGGTAGTGTTGCAAAGTTGTGCCCCCTTGATGCTGCTCGACTTGCAGAGGGTGCTTCACATTGGCAGCATAGCTGGTAGGGGGCTCTGGCAGTGGTGGCAGCAGCGGCACAGTCTCACTGTCCCACTCCACCCTCCTACTCCAGGTCTGCCTGCTGGGCCACAGATGCCCCCAGGGGTGAGGGCAGGAGGGTGGGGAGCCCTGAGCCCCATAGCAGGCAGCCTTCATTCCTCCCTCACCCTACCTCCCACAGGCTCCTCTCCAGCTATGCTGCCTGCAGGAGGGTGTTGGGGGAGAGAGAGACAAGCCAGTCTCCACACTCTGCTTAGGATGCAGCAGCTGCTGCCTCCCATGTGCAGCAGCCAGGGCTCAGGTGCTGCTGATCAGCTGTGGCTGGTGCCCGTGGAACAGGGAGAGGGCAGGATACAGCTGCCAGGTCCTGTAGCCCTGGCAGCAGGGGGCCCCCTGTGGAAGTGCTGGAGGGGGCAGGGGGTTACAGTTTGGGAGCGAGGGGCACTGGCAGGGACAGGGGCCTGTGGGTCACGAGTGTGGGGTAGAAGTGGGGTTGAGGGGGTAGGAGGCTGTGGATTGGGAGTGAGGGGCACTGGCAGGCCCAGGGTAAGGAGTCAGTGGGTAAGGAGTGAGGGGCAGCAGGAGGGCTGTGGCTTGGCAGTGAGTGGCAAAGGCATGGGCAGGGCACTGGCATATCAGGGTTGCTCACTACCATAAAGCAGCTGACGGGACAGCTGCAACTGGACATGCATCCTGGTGAGCAAAGGGGGCAGGAGGAGCTCTGATTTAAATTGCCTTAAAAGCATAAACATATCAATAAAACATCGTACGCACATACACGCATATATAAATTTTACAGGTGCACCGATAGTATTTTTGGGGCTGATACCAATAGCTGATATTTAAGGAGTCATAACGGCTGATACCAATCTGATTTTCGACACAGCTGCCTCCAGTTGGTAAGTCTGGTGTGGTGGAAGGGGATTTCATAGACATTAGGGCTGGAAGGGTCCTCAGAAGACCATCAAGTCCAGCCCCCTTCCCCAGGGGCAGGAAGTCAGCAGGGATCATAGGATCCCAGCAAGATAAATATCCAAATTTCTCTTCAAGGTGTTCAAAGTAGGTGCTTCAACCACCTTTGGCCATGGTCTATTCCAGACCCTGGGGGCTCGGACTGTAAAGAAGTTCTTCTTTATGTCCAGCCTGAAACAGTCCTGAAGGAGTTTGTGACCATTTGACCTTGTCATCCCCTGTGGTGCTCTGGTGAACAGACGTCTCCCCCGATCCCGGTGAGCACCCCTGATGAACTTATAGGCAGCCACTAGATTACCCCGAGCCTGTGCTTAAGAAGCATCTACGGATGCAAGCCAGCATTTTTCTTGCTTTACTAGCCACTGCATCACATCGCAGGAACATGTTCATCTTGTGGTCAAATCATGACCCCCAAGTCCTTTTCATCTGTATTGCTAGCCAGCGTAGCACTGCCGAGCCTATAAGCATGCTGTGGGTTTTTCTTCCCAAGGTGGAGAACCTTGCATTTTTTGGTGTTAAACACCATCACATTCTCATCTGCCCATTTTCTGAGCCTGTCAAGGTCAGCCTGGATCACCCTCCTATCCTCAGGTGTGGACACTTTACCCCAGAGTTTGGTGTCATCAGTGAACTTGGCCAGTCCCTTTCTGATACCAATGTCCACATCATGAATGAAGATGTTAAATAGTGTTGGACAAAGGACAGAGCCTTGAGGGACCTCACTGGTCACAGGGCACCATGACGATTGGCTTCTGTCAACCACCACCCTCTGGGTCCGATCACAGAGCCAATTCCCCACCTAGCAGATTGTGGTGAAGCCGAGGCCATAGTTGGACAGTTTTGCCAAGAGATGATCATGGGATACCAGATCGAAGGCTTTTTTAAAGTCAAGATATACAACATCAATCTCGTCTCCCTTGCCCAGGTGATAGGTCATTTGGTCATAAAAGGAAATAAGATTGGACAAGCAAGACCTACCCACAACAAACCTGTGCTGGCTATCCCTCAGGATGCTGCCATCGGCCAGTCTGTTAAGGATGGCCTCTTTGATAATCTGTTCTAAGACCTTCCCCAGAACAGAGGTTGGGCTGATGGGCCTGTAGCTTGCCAGATCCATTTTCCTCCCCTTCTTGAAGATAGGCACCACATTGGCCATCTTCCAGTCTTTGGGCACTTCACCCGAGTACCAGGAGTTCTTGAAGATCCATGCCAGGGGCTGAGCTATGATGGTGGTGGTAGTCCCCCCATCCCCTGGTGGGCTTAGTTTAAAGCCAGGTGGAGCAGGTCAGCCAGTCTGGCTGAGAAAAGCCTCCTCCCCAGCGGAGAGAGGTGGAGGCTGTCCTTTCCCAGCAGCTCACTGACTCTCTCACCAAAGGGCCATAGAAGCTGAAGCCTTCTCAATGACACCAGTGCTGCAGTCTTTGGTTTACTACCTCCATCCTCCTCTGTTTGTGCGGCCTGTTTGTAAGGTTCTGGTCACATGGCTCCCTGGGCTTGAAAGAAGTGCAACAAGTTTCCACCTGTGCATCTCACTTCGGAGCCATGGAGAAACTGCGGCTAAGCTGTTGGTGGGCCCTTTTTAAACTGTGCGCATGAGCAGAAGGGTTCACCGATGGGGCTGCACTGCTCTAGGGGCTGGGGGGTGCCTGCACCATGGAAAAAGAGGACAGGTGAGTGCCTCTCCACCCCCTGTCTCATGCGCCAGGCAGGACCGGTCATGTGGCTCCCTGGGGCCTGAGCAAAGTAGGGGCCGGGGGGGGGGGGTATCCCTCCCCAGCTCACACTCAGCTGCCCTGCAGCTGTTTTGAGTTGGGGTCCCTCCCTCCCTGCCGTGGGCCCCACCTACCTCTGGCTGTGCTGAAGGTCCACGTGGGGGTCCCGCTGGGGGGTCCTGGGGGTCCCTAGGCTTGACAGGGATGCAACAGGCTTCCACCTGTGCATCTCGCTCCAGAGCCAGGGACAAAACTGCCAGGGATGGGGTTGGGAAAGGGCATGGAGGGGGTGCAGATCAACACCCCTCCCCAGTGATGGAAAGAGCAGGGGTAGGCACTGCCCGGGTGGGGCACAGTGGCTGCTTGCACCCTGGGAGGGCATAGGGGGTGTGTGCCCCCCAGATCTGCATGGGGCAAGGTGGGCTGCAGAGGGGGCTGTGTGAGGCTGGTCTCAGAGTGGGCGCAGGCAGCACTGGGAGGATGCTGCATCCAACTGAAATATCACTGCCGCTCGGTTCTCAGCACCACCATCACCAGCCGTTTGGTGCTGCTCCGGCTCAGTGCCCCACAGCCACCCAC